TGAAAGAAGCCAGACACAAAAGCCCACATACTTATGATTTTATTTATATGAAATGTCCAGAATAGGCAAATCCGGAAAACATATGTTAGTGGTTTCCAAGGATGGGGAGTAATGGGTATGGGGCTTCTTTTGTGGATGATGAAAATGTTCTGGAATTAGATCGTGGTGATAGTTGCACAACTTTGTGAATATACGGAAACCACTGAATTTTACACTTTAAAGGATAAGTTTTATGGTATGTGAATTATAGTTTTTAAAGAAGCAACTCCAGGGAGAGAGCAGCTCAGCCCAGCTAGACAGGGTGTGGTTAGAAGGTAACTTGACTGACAGCCAGCAATCTGGGGTCTTTATTAGACTCCACTGAGCAAGCCTGACTCTGCCACTTCACAGCTGAGAGCTTCTCTGGCAAGCCGTGCCCCTCTTTGAGCCTCTGTTTCCTTTTTTTGTAAAGTGGCAGGTGAGGACATGGCTATACATATAAGGGGACAGTTGTTCTTGCCTAAGTTTTGGATCTGTTACAGCAGGAGGGGCTAGTAGGGGACACAGAGTGCTAATAGGATCTTTTCTCCATTAAACAACAACAGCTCAAAACAAATATCACAGCCAGAGAGAACAGCAACCTTGTTCTAACTGTTCAGCACAGCTGATGAGCTGTTGGCAAATTCAGTAGAGAGGCCACTTTGGCTTTCCAGGTAGGAATACAGGATAATGGCAGTAGGGTGTGAGCATCTCCAAGCATGGGTTTTTTCCTTGAATGCTGGGCTCTTGGATATGGTCCCGTGACAGCATCTCTCTCCCCAGAACCCCCGATGTGCAGTGCGTGGCCAATGGCTCCTATAATGGGAGATTTACAACTTGGAGCTTCAGACACCTCACGGACCTCCTTTGTCCAGCTCATGGCAGAACGTGTAATCATCTCTGTGGGCTCCTGCCCCAGGCTCCAGACAGGCTCTGGCCAAGGCAGCTGAAAGCACAAGAAGCAAGAAGCTCCACAACCCCACAAACAAAAGAGTTACATCGCCCTCATGAAGGAGAGGAAATCCATCCTGACACCTTATGAAAATATTTCGGGGGCTTGTTTACAGAATGAACCCTGAGCTGACAGCTTCTCCTGGTCTGGCTTTGCAGCTGGGCCAGATGTGGCTCCAGGTTCTTTTGCAGGAGGTTCCAACGACGTCCCATTTTTCTTTTTCGTGTGTCGGCTGTGATCCAGCACTGGACTAAAGGCCCACAATCCACCCCTGCTTATCCTGCAGAAAAGCTGCCTAGATAACCAGCAGGTGATCGGGACCCCACTGCAGCCTGGATCTCAACTGGGGGGACCTGGGGGGGCAGAAGCGGTCACCTCTGAAATCAACCCACTCCATGACATTCAATACAAGGTAGTGGTGATGCTTGTTCAGTGAGCTCGATGTTCCTTGAAGAAGAGAGGCTGTCACGATGCCATTTTCCAGTTTATGAAAGAAGGAAGCTGAAGTGGAGATGCCACTCCCACACCTCCTCCCTCAAATGTCCCCAGCACCTCACGGCCCAGCCATCGTGGACAAGACTCCCGGCAGAGCCAGGTGGCGTCCTGGAGGCCACGCATGTGACATGACTCCTCATGTCACAGATGGAGAAGCTGAGCCCAAGAGGCACTGAGTGGCTCAAGTCACAGCTGAACAGTGTCTCAGATGCTTGTCTGGACTTGGCCTGCTGAATCGTGCTGTGGTAGGACCAAAAGAAAGGAAAAATCCTCCTCTTTCCGCCTCTCCCACTGCTGCTGCTTGCTGCCCACACCCAGGCCCTCTGCTTAGGTGAGGCTGCACGTTCCCAGGAAGTTCAGCAGCCCCCTCGCCCCCCTGCGCAGGCCCTGGTCTTCTCTGACCTGGGCTGCCTCCCAGCTCACAGAGTCCTTTCTGGGGTGGGGTGGGGTGGGGAGGTGGCACCTTCTTTCCTTTTCGGGTTGGAGCCCATGTTGAAGACGTTTGGGTTACATGTCAGAGACAACCTCCCCCTGTCAGGGGCTTAAAACAAGACCCACTCCTCCTCCCCATGCACGTGGGGAGGAAGGGAGGAAAGGATAGTTCTTTTAAGATGACTACTAAACTTATCTACCCATGTGGCTATCTCTTTGCCCTCCGTACCCCTCAGAAAAGACTAGTGATTGCTAAGAAAATGTTGGGTTATATGACCAAGGCAGGGCCACAGAATGAAAGGCAGAAGACAACCTGTAGAAAGAACTGAAAGCAGGGACTCGAAGTGATACTGGTGCAGCCATGTTCACAGCAGCATTATTCATAATAGCCTAAAGGTGCAAGCAACCCAAGTGTCCATCGACAGATGAATGGCTAAACAAAGTATGGTCCATCCATACAATGGAACATTATTTACCTTTTTAAATTTTTATTAAACAATTTTTGGGGGGGCTGTGCTGCGCAGCATACAGGATCTTAGTTCCCTGACCAGGGATCGAACCTGCATACCCTGCAGTGGAATCATGGAATCTGAACCGC